CAGGATCTACTAACCTATCTTTCATGTGAACTGAGTCATAAACACATTTTTACTGAAGTTATTACAAAAAAAGTATCATTTTATACAAAATGGAGTTATACTGATTCATAATCATGTACTTTCCCCAACATGTGTATTTAAAATTACTAGTTTCCTGAAGCATCAAAGACTAGTTAACATAACCTTTACCCTTTTACATAGGAAAAAGAGTTGTTGATTTGAAGGATCATTCTGAAGGAATGAAAATTTCTCCATAAGTGTATTATAATAATAATTATTATTATTATCACTATCAATACTATTATATAATCAATTAAACTGTGAATTGATAACTCTGCAGCTATTATAATCTTTCCTCTTTACAAATTGTCCTGACACACAGATAAGCAATTTAAGTAATGTGTAACATATTTTTGGCTTCTTGTTTAGCAGGGAACACTGAGCCAGTCAGTGCATTCAGATCCATTCCTTTTTTGAAAAAATATATATTTTGATGATTTTAGAGAGGAAGAACGAGGGAGAGAGAGATAGAAACATTAATGATAAGAGATAATCATTTATCATCTGCATCCTGTGTGCCCCACACTGGGGATCAACCCTGCAACCTGGGCATGTACCCTGATAAGGAATCTGACCATGACCTCCTGGTTCATAGGTTGAATCTCAACCACTGAGTCATGCTGGCCAGGCCAGATCCATTTCAATTAAAAATCCTTGATAAATATACTTATCATTATCCATGCCTTCTTTGAGCCTTGTTTTCTTTATATTATAAATAAAACAATAGTATTTAGTGTTTGTTTGTTTGTTTGTTTGTTTAACTCGTAGACTGCCCTAACTTTCTATAACACTGTGAGTTGACAATGGATTTTTTGCACACAGAGAACCTGAACTCTGCGGTCAGAAATTGTGACAGAAGTCTATAGGCAAGGGTCTTCATCTTCATTGTTGAAGGAAAGTATATTCGAAGAGAACATGTTCTAGATTGTTTTTTATTTTATGTAAATTGCAAATACCTTGATTATTGCTTTTTTTAAATTCCCATAATTACTAACATAAACTGAGAACAGATGTGAAACCTAGATCTGGCCTTAAATTCTGTGTGTAGTAAAAACATAGATGGAGAGGAAAGTAGTCTTAGAATAAAAAGAGAAAAAGACAGAATCCTGAGACTCAGATTCTTCTCAGGGAAAAAAAAAATGTATTTCTGAAAAAGATACAGGTGTTTGTTTATTCTTTCTTATGAAACTGTGATTTATACCCAGGTTCCTCCTCCAATTGTATGACATTCGTCAAATGACTTAAAATGTGTTACGATAGCCGAAACCGGATTGGCTCAGTGGATAGAGCATCAGCCTGCGGAGTGAAGGGTCCCAGGTTCGATTCCGGTCAAGGGCATGTACCTTGGTTGAGGGCACATCCCCAGTGGGGGGGGTGTAGGAGGCAGCTGATCAATGTTTCTCTCTCATCGATGTTTCTAACTCTCTATCCCTCTTTCTTCCTCCCTGTAAAAAATCAATAAGATATGTATTTTTTAAAAATGTGTTACAATATTCCTCTCACTATAAAAATAAAAATATTTAAAGTTGTGAAACCTATTAAAATTTATAAAGTGTCATCTATGAAAATGTTATGACATGAGGAACAAAAGAAATGATAGATAATATGTATGTAGAATTTAAAATCCTCTGTAGGATTCTTACCTCTTAGTTTTATTCCTTGGTAGTTCTTACCTTTTAGTTTTATTCCTTGGTAGCCTCTTACTTTGTATTTTTTTCCATACTGAATAGTCTAGAAGACCTCTAATAACATAAAACCAATTTTACTCCATTATTACAAAAATTCAGTGAATATACACAATCATTGAAAAAACATATACATATTTCTCATATAATTTGTGAGAATTTTCCTCAAAGGAAAAAACAACATATATTTGAAAGTATCAAGTTAGTGGGTTTTCTTCATTTTCAAAATGCATTACTTTATTTTTCTCATAAGGGAACCACATATTTAAACATTCGAATGTGACATTATTTTCATTAGTAAGTCTCAAATCTTCTGTGAGCATTTCTGGAACTTATAGAAAGAGGGGTACAACTGATGTTTCAAATATTAAAGCTTTTGCCATAGAACCAAGTTTCTTTTTCTGTTTGTTTGTTTTTCAATTACAGCTTGCATTCAGTTTTATTTTGTATTAGTTTCAAGTGTACAGCATAGTGGTTAGACAATCATAAACTTTACAAAGTGTCCCCCTGATATTTCCAGTACCCACCTGGAAGCATATATAGTTATTACAATATCATTAGCTATATTTCCCATGCTGTACTTTACATACCCAGGTCTATTTTCTAACTACCAATCTGTACTTCTCAATCTTTTTATCTTTTTCACCTAACCCCCCAAACTCCCTTCCCACTGGCAACTATCAGTCTGTTCTCTGTATTTGTGAATCTGTGTCTGATTTTTATTTGTTTATTTATATTATTCTTCACATATAAGTAAATTCATATGATATTTGTATTTCTCTAAATAATTTCATTTAGAACCATCTACACTGTCACAGATAAAATTTCATAAATTTTTCTACTGTTTACTCTTATCTTTCTCATCTCTTGAGAAGGAGGGCTAATGTTCTTAACATTTATGTTTGATTCTGATCATATAACCATTCTACTTGTAAGTTATTAGTAATAGCACCTTACCCTAAAAATGAAAACTGAATTAAAATCTCATAATTTATAACCTGCTCTTAATTTTCACTTTTCCATTTTGAGTTTCAGGGCCACTTATTCACCTGTTTGTTTTTTTTATACAGGTGAACGTAGAATATTTAATGTATCCTCAAGATTTTTCTTTTCTTTTTATATGCTCTGAATTTTTTTTTCTTTTTATATGCCTCAACAACATACTACTTTCTAAGGGAAATCAATACTAAAATCCTCTTTTATTCAATGTGACTCTTTCTGTTATCATCATACTCTTTATTTTTTAATTGTATTGAATTTATTAGGGTACATTGGTTAATAAAATAATATAGGGTTTATATGTACAGTTCTATAATAAATCACAATTAATAAAAAATAACAATTTGCAAATCATATATTTGCTAAGGGCTTTATAACTAAAACTAGAGACCTGTTGCACAATATTCATGCAAGAATAGGCCTTCCTTCCCCTGGCTTTGCTCCTGGCCTCCTGGGAGCCTCCAAGTCCCCACTCCGAGGCTGCCCAGGAGCTGCCAAGTCCTCATTCATGGCCAGAGCACCACTCCTGTAGGTCCCTCCACCCCCATCCCGCCCCTTCATAGCAAGCCTCCTGGCCCGGTTGGTCACTCTATGCCTGCTTATGCAAATTAACTTTCCAACTTTGCCAGATTAATTTGCATAGTCACTCCTGATTAGCTGTGGGCATAGTGGAGGTACAGTCAATTTACATGCTTGTCTATTATTAGGTAAGATATCTAAAAACTCTCCAACCTCAATAAGAAAAAAAAACAACCTTGTCACAAAAGGGAAAATTATTCAATCAGGAACTTCACCAAGATGTATATATGACAAATAAGCATATGAAAAAATGCAATATACCAAAGCAAAGTAAAACAAGCATTAAAAATCTAACCATACCAACTACTGGCTGAATTATGGAGGAACTATAATTCTCACTACTTACTGGTCAGAGTATCAAATGGGACCTTGTTTTGGAAAACATGTTAACACTATTTTAAACAGTGAAATAAGTATTTACCTCATGATCATTTCATTTCCAGCTATTACCCAATAGCCTAATACTTTCCAGTTTAAAATGCATGTCATTTATGTTATATGAGAAACATGTTAATTAACTGGGATGCTATAATGGGTCGACTGGACAGGGGAGGTTGCACACACAGCATTGGGGTTGGGGTGGCAGGGGCCTCCTCCACCTGTGCTGGGGGAGGGCCAGACTAGCAACTCTAGGGTTGGCAGCACAGCTGGACCCGCCCCCAAGCAGGTCTGGTCATATGGCTTGACAGCAGACAGCAGGTCCTTGCTTGGCATTAGCCACGATGACCCACGAGCAAGCAAGTGGGTCCACAGGCAACACCTAACAGGGCCTGCTTGCCCATGGCCATGGTGTGGAGCAGGCAGGCCCCACAGAAAGCAGAGAACCATGGGGAGTGGGCCTATGCCATCAGTAAGATATCTCCTGAGGGCTCCTGGATTAGAGAGGGTACAGGTTGGGCTGAGAGACTCCCTTCCCCCATGCACAAACTTTGTGCACCAGGCCTCTAGAATAGAAAATAATGAGCTAAAATTAGTGGGAAGATCAGAAAAAATAGAAATTCTGTATAACATAAAGAGATGTATTTTCAGTATGATCTTCACACTAATTTACCTCATCATTTTCTATACTACAAGCCAGTATAACCAAAACAATTGGATAATGGTAAAGCACATAGAAAAGGGCAATGGGAAGTGTGCAAAATAAGTTTTTATTTCACTTGGTTAAATTTCTCTTACTTAAATTTTATCTGCAAAATTAGGGTTGCATTAACCAGTCCATTTCATTAGGGTTTTATGACCCTTTGGGGGTAGTAAAGGAAGAGCTGTGTTACCCAAGAGAAAAATTACCCATTTCACATTTTCCTGAGGATGCTACCAGCCATGAAAACAGTATACACCTGTGATCATATATTATCTTCCTCTAAAGATAAACAGACACTCCCAGAAGTCCAGCCCCAAATCTAATCCCATAGGTGCATTAAGATTATTGCTTCTGCATAAAACTCCCTAATCTCCAGGCATTGCTTGTCACTAGCAGTGGAAAAACTTATGTCTAGAAAAAGGGATTTTGCCCTAAAGGATAAAGAATCAGATCTCTATTTTGCTGAGTTTATAACACTAAAGGAAATTGCATTGTACCTTCCATTCTTTTCAAAGCAGACAAACATTATTCAAAATTAAGGAATCATTAGCTGATCTGATTTGCTACATCTCTGGAAATATTTCAATTCTCTCTTCATGTCTGCTATCGCCATCTCAAACTATAATAGTTCCAGATTTATCCTCACTGGATTCCCTGGCCTAGAAGTTGACTATCTCTGGCTCTCCATCCCTTTCTCCTCCATCTACGTTATGATTTTTCTGGGAAATTGCCTTGTGCTGCACGTGATCCGAACTGAGCCAAGCCTGCACGAGCCCATGTTCTACTTCCTGGCCATGCTGGCCCTCACTGACCTGTGCATGGGCGTCTCCACCATGTATACAGTGGTGGGAATCTTGTGGGGGTTCATTCAAGAGATCAGCCTGGATGCCTGCATTGCCCAGTCTTATTTCATCCATGGTCTGTCCTTCATGGAGTCCTCTGTCCTTCTTGCTATGGCTTTTGACCGGTACATCGCCATTTGCCACCCACTCCACTACTCTTCCATCCTAACTAATGATAAGATCATGAAAATTGGGGTGGCAATCTTATGTAGAAGTACTTTACTCATACCTCCAGTCATCATTCGCCTAAAGTTCTTAAATTATTGCCATCCCCACATTCTCTCCCACTCTTTCTGCCTGCACCAAGACTTAATTAGAATGGCCTGCTCAGACATCCGCTTCAACAGCGTCTATGGTCTGGCCCTGGTGATCAGCAACTTATTGTTGGATGCAGTGCTTATACTTGTGTCCTATGTCAGGATCTTGCATGCAGTCCTAGCTATTGCATCTCAGGAGGAGAGAATCAAGTCCTTACAGACCTGCGTATCTCACATCTGTGCTGTTTCAGTTTTCTATATCCCAATCATCGGCCTGACTATGGTGCATCGCTTTGGGAAACACCTCTCACCTTTGGTACATGTGTTCATGGGCAACATCTATATCCTTTTCCCTCCCTTGATGAACCCCATTATTTATAGCATCAAAACCCAGCAAATACGAAGGAGAGTCCAGAGACTGTTTTACTTGAAAGAAATGTGCTGAGATCAAATGTGCATGGTTTTAAAAGTTGACAAGTGGAAATCAAAGGGGTAAAGATTAGTATTAACTTAAAATGTATTTAATGGCTTCTATTTGTGTAATTGATATGTTGCAAATAATTTCCTCTTCATTTTGCCCAAAGCCATCATAAATCAGTAAGATTGGCATGGGTTATATTCTGATCAAATATATAAATCATAATATATACATATTAATGTATGAGAAAAATTAGCTGTTAAAATTTATATCTTACTATGCCTATCTGAGTGAGAATGGTTTTGAATTAACCCAATATAGAAAATGTAAATTTTCTAAGTTAAAGTCCTTCAGGTATTACTAAAGAATCAATAATGATCTTAATCCATTTTCACTAGTCTAGGCAACATTTTTGTTTATTGTTTAGCCATCATCTCTGCTACCCAACTTTGCTACATGAAAATGTAATGGAGTAACCATATAGGGATACTGGACTATTTGGATGATTTAAAAAGTAGTGGAACAAACAAAAACTAATCTGATGCTATTTGCCCACCATTTAAACATTCTTTTCTCACTTGAATCATATGAATAATAATTGAACTGGAGATATAGAAAACCAGTAATTGCCAGATTAGAAAAAACCATACATTTTTGGTGGGATTTTTTTAAATTTAAAAAATAACAATAGCAACTAGCATTTGGAAACCATTTGAAATGTTTATGAGTCCATCTCTCATTTAAATCCCAGTCCCAATTTTTAAAAAAATAGAAGAGCACCAAGAATTATTAAGACCATGTAATATAAATATATTTTTAATTTATTTCTCCATCAAGATTCTGTGGTAGACATTATTTTCTATTAAATGCATGCATATTTAAAAACGTACAAAAGTTAAATGATATGTTCTACTTTTAGGAGGTTGTAGGTGATGGGATGCGGAAAACTTTCTATTTCAGTTTCAGATCACATGACAACTTTATTTTCTTCTCTCTGTACTTTTCAATATGAACTCTATTAAATGGTTATGCAATCATTATAAAACATTGACATGCTAAATAAAAATCATCAAATTAAGTCATGGATGATAATGTAGTACATAAATTTGGATTCTGTTAGTATGTGTAAGTTTCCTCAAAATATTATTGTCATATGATATTTACATAATCTACTAAATATATTTAATGCAAGTTTTGAAGTATAACTACAAATATTAATTCACTCTATTTAGATATATATATGCAAACTCATCAAAGTTTGATGAGTTTAGAAAATATTTATAGTTATGTAATCACTGCCACAATCAAGTATAGAATCTTTTCATCACCCCCAAAAGTGCCTTTTTACTTCTTTGGGATTAGTCTTCTCCCATAACCCAAAGTACCTGGCAACCAATAATCTGATTTTTGACATACAGTTTGCCTTTAAGAGAAGGTCATAGAAATTAAATCATAAATAATGTAATACTTTATATTTGGAGTCCTTCACTTGCAACAATGCTTTTGACATATATTTTTGTTGATGTCTGTATTCACAATTTATTTTTATTGTTGAATCCTATTCTTTTGTATCACATACAGCAAATTTATTTATTCATCAATTGATCAGCACTTTTGTGTTTAATAGCTTTAATTTTAAACAAAGCTATCATAAACATACACACCCAATGTTTATCAATGGACTTCCTCAAAATTGGGATTTAATTTTTAATGTATATATCTTTACTATTAGTAATGCAACTTTCACAGTAATAATAATAGTCATAAAAATAATGCTTAGTTTATATTTATCAGAAACCTATTATATGTCAGTCACAATGCAAGCACTTAGTAGAGACTGTTAATATTAATCTTTAGAGCAAATCTATGAGGTAAATGATAATCATTTAACTGTGCAGATTATGAAATTGAGGTAAAGATGTTTTAAATTACTAGAAAATAATGGTGGAACAATTTAGTTTCACAGCATTTTTACTATTGCTATTGCTGTTCTATTTTACATTACAGATATGTCCACATCATTCTATTTGTTTCTTTTGGAAGTGTGTCATGGTGGGAGTTGAGAATTTTAAATTGTGTATGTATATAAATATAAGTTTCAAATGAATTATTTAATAGATCATTCTTCTCTCAGCCAGTATTATGATATACTAAAATCTTAAGTAATAGGTTTTGTACTTTATACTTGAAAAGTCAGATGTGGTGAGGTTTGTTTTGTTTTCTTTTATTTCTTAACATTATCTTGTTCCACGGGAACCTATTTATGTCAATGGTTGTCTGAATTTTTAACTTTGCACTTAAGTGTCAATTTGTTTTTGAGTTTAAAAAATATCTTTGCTGAAATAAAACCCAACTTATTTTAACAACTTTTCTGTTATTTGGAAATTGATATTCTCTGCTAGACTGTTGTGGAGTTTTTTCTGCCTCTACTCACTTTCACTCTCATCCAAGTTCCTGCCCAGTGCATTAAAGGGGAACCCACAAGTCTCTGAGAGATTGGATGACAGAATTGGATGAGATTCTGATCTCAATCTGAGTCTTCTGCACCCCTACTGAATGTTGACTCATTATTTTCTCTTAAATCCAATTAGTGACTAATGTTTATGCCTCACGTCTTGAAACTGGACCCATTTTTCTCTTACTTCCCTGCTCTAAAATTTATGTTTATGGAATCATTTTCCCTTGCCAAAGCAACTCCCTTGGCAACTTCACTGCTCAGCATGAGCCATTAATTGGGTGTCCCCCACAGTGCTGAAAAAAAAAAACTCCTAGATTCATTTATTGTCTGGTGGAAGACAAAAACACCAGTTGTCTAACTGACCAATGCACATGGCCATTTTTACTCTAATGCTGCTCTCTCAAGTTGGCGTGAGATATCTTGCAAGGAAATTTTCCTCTGATATTTAATCAGAAATAAAGAGGGTAATCTCCCTCTACTTTTAGCTTTCCTCTGTAACACACTGAGTTTCTATCCTTTTATGTCCTGACTCTTCTTCAAATGAAGGCATGAGGATGTGCAGCTAAAACTTGGACCTTTGAAGAGAATATCTTCCTTCTCCTTTCCCATCTGTGTTTCTCCTCCCCATTTCATGTTCAAAAAGGGTCCACTGCTCCTTTGTGTGTGAGAGGAACATCCTCTACATCCCAACCTTTTTTTTTCCTTACTCTTCTTCTAACTGGTATCATCTAACATAAGTGTTTAATGACAGAATGACATTAGAAAGAAAACAAAAATCAATAGTTTTCAAAAGACAAATATTTCTAGCATACATATACTATTTAAAATATAGATAAAATAGAATTTACATATATTTGTTTATACTAGAGGCCTGGTGCACAAAATTCATGCACTGGGGGGTAGGGGTGTCCCTCAGCCAAGTCTACACCCTCGCCAATATTGGACAACTTGGGGGTGTCCAACTGCCCTATGGGATTGGGCCTAAACTGGTAGTTGGACATCCCTCTCACAATCTGAGACTGCTGGCTTTCAACCACTTGCCTGCCTGCCAGTTTGATCACCCCCTAACCACTCCCCTGCCTGATCGATCCCTAACTGCTTCCCTGATTGCCTGATTGCCCCTAACTGCCCTCCTCTGCTGGCCTGGTAACCACCAACTGCCCTCCCCTGCCAGCCCAGTCACCCCTAACTGCCCTCCCCTGCCAGCCTGGTTGCTCCTAACTGTTCTCCCCTGCAGGCTAGTCACTCCCAACTGCCCTCCCCTGCCAGCATGGTTGTCCCTAAGTGTCATCCCCTGCAGGCTTAGTCCCCCCAACAGCTCCCAGCTGTACTCCCCTGCAAACCACTTTGTGGTGGCCATATTTGACCACATGGGGGTAGCCATCTTGTATGAGGGTGTAAGGATCAATTTGCATTTTACCTCTTTATTATATAAGATATATACTAGAGGTCCAGTGCATGAAAATTTATGCACTTGAGGAGGGTCCCTTACCTAGCCTATCCAATCTCACAATCCAGGAGCCCTCAGGGGCAGGAGGACACCCAGCAATCAGAGGAAGGTGATGGGTGATGCCCCATCACACCTCTGCTGCTGCCACTGCCAGCAGCACAAGCATGGTTACCTGAGCCTCAAGGGGCCCTTGGTGGCTGGGTGGCTGCCATCTGAGGCTTGCCTTAACTTCTAGCTGGTCTTGGGCAGCTGGGCAGACATCATCCAAAGCTTGCCTATGCCTCAGGCTAACTCTGGGCGGCTGGAGGGCTGAGGTGACTGGTGGACTGTGGAGGCAGGTGCACAGAGTAGCCAGATCCACCTGGGGATGGACCTGGCTTTGCTGCACACCTGCTTCCCTGGCAGGGTTGAGGGGACTGGGCACCACCATCTTGTGGCTGTGGGTGCTGCCATCTTTGAGGGCGTGGCAGTAATTAGCATAGTCCCTCTTTATTGGTTGTGGGTGTCACCATCTTTGTGATGGTGTGAAAGTCAATTAGCATATTCCCTCTTTATTAGAAAGAATATGTATATTCCGACTAGTTTTAAGTAACTTTTATTATGGTAGTATGTCCCAAAGTTGGCAACTTTTACTTATTATACAGTAATGCTAATATTTTGGCATGTGTTAAGCTTTTTTTCCCACTGTATCACATTTAAATCAATTCTGTACCCAACCTGATGCTGCAAATGTGCAAATTAAATTTTATTACTATATCTATAGATGATTACTAACATTAATCACTTAATATGTTCCAAATATTATATACTTTCTCAATTTTTAAAAAATGAACACATAAGTATATTAATTTTTCTAAGATTTTATAGTTAGAATCAGTGGAACAGAGATTTGTTTATTGGCAATATGATTTCAGAGATTGCCATCTTAGTCACAAGCTACAGTGTAATCTAATAGGTAAAACTAGTATTTCCTTATCAATTACATGAAAATGATTGCACTTAATCAATTGTACTTTAAGCCTATTGTAACAAAACTCAATATTACACAAATTTAAGGTCTGCTTACTCTGATATTGCCCTGAACAAAATCACAAAAAGAAAAATTTTCTACTCTTCATC